GTCTAACACCTTCTCACTTATTTTCATTCCCTTTAAAGGAAATACCATTGAGTAATGCCTTCTAAATGTCCACATGTAAATATGTAAAAATGTAGTATAATATTGCCACTTCCATTGAAATATATTTTTATCGATATAATGAATCGTCAGAAATACAATTGTGTTAACGCGTTATTGCGTATACAGAAATGTAGGAAACAGGATAATATATATATATATATTTGTTTTATTAATAGGTTGCAACAATTCAACCTTTATGGAAGGACGGCTGCAAAGAAACAACAGTTGATTGTCCTAAACCAATTTGATAGGCTGGGCTTTGCCCAGACCCATTGTCGATGGACTGTGGCCGACTGGTCTGCCGTCATTTTTACCGATGAGAAGATATTTTGTACCGAGAACAGCAGGACCGTTTGGGTGCGCCGACCACCATCGACACGTTTTAACTCGGAATACGTGTGGCGCACCCAACGAAGCGGTCGCTTCTCGATAGGTGAGTTTTTACATTTCGTGTTTTCGTTCATGTGTTATAGATCATAACTTGATTTGACGTTTTCTGTTTACAGGTATCTGGGATGGATGACTTTTGCAGGACTAGGGGAGTTGGTCAGAATTGATGGCCATCTCGACACCACGCAATATATACAAATATTACAAGATGTGTTGGTGCCATCTGCAAGAGCGGTGTTCGGCGACATGCCATGCTAGTTCGTCCATGACTGCTCCCTGGTCCACACGGCCCGCAGAACGCAGCAATGGCTGCTCACGCAGCCATATCTCATAGACATCAGATGGCCAGAGAGGGGGACAGACCTCAACCCCATAGAACACGTATGGGCTCTGCTCTGCGACGGCCCCATTCAGGCGGCAACTCCTGACGAACTCTGGGAAATCGTCAGAGGTCGTTGGGAGAACTTCGAGGGCATACTTTGAGAACGTTTTGTGGGAAGTATGCCCAAGCGACTGAATGAGGTCGTCGACAGAGTTGGATTATGGACGAGGTTCTGACCCTCTCCCCTCCATCTGCGATGTTTGTTTATTTTTTTGTAAATGTATGGTAAGACAAAAGTTTAATAAATGTAAATAGTTATTTCTAATCTGTTTTTTCTAAGTCATAAAAACGTTGCACAGTTAAACGTTATACAGTAGAGCCTCGATTATCCGACCCCCAATTAACCGACACCTCGGTTAACCGACCTCCTAGTCAGCAAATTTCAAATGTCCGCTAGTAATGAGGCGCTACAATATTTGGCTATGTCTTGGCTACTTTAATATTATTTTTACGTGTTTTAGCTGGCAACACTCATTTGACCATGAAAGGGAGCCAGTATTTAAACGAGGCTTAATTTTCTAATTTTTAACGATACAATAGCGACAATTATTATTTTAAAAAATTTTTGTTAGGCTTAACATCGATGAAAATTCAACGCGAAGTAGGTTAATAGCGATATACTAATATACTAATTACATGGGATATAATAATATACTACACTAATAATGGATTTTTTCATACTTTTTCGGTTATCCGACTTTTCAATTATCCGACCAACCCCAGTCCCCAATTGGGTCGGATAATCGAGGCTCTACTGTAGTTATAGTTATTATAACTGTTTCTTGACATTAATGTGCATTGCTAGAAGATTGGTTGTTTAGATATATTTGTTATCTCTGATTCGCGATTCTGATATAGTTCGGTAACGATTCTCGGCCAATACGCTGTTTGCAGGGTGTGACCATCAAGAATGCCCAATCAAACAAGTAGAAGACGGTGTAGCTAACACTGTTTTCTACTTGAATCCTTGAACACGATTTGATAAAAGACAAATCGTGTTCAAGGAAATTTCCTAATGTTTTATTGGATAATAACAAACCAATGCACTTCGTGTTTTGTCTCTGAACTTGCAAAAAGACATTTAAGAATATCAAAAGTGTCCTTTAGTAGAAATAAATTACTTGGAAAATGAAAGAATATATTCCCAACTTGAAGAATATAATTAATTTATTCCAGGAAAAAAATGGGATATTGTTACGCGTAATTATGTATTTTTAATATATCTGGTCTTTGAGGTTTTATTAAAATGAAATTTTATTTTACAGGATAGCTTTATAATATAAGTTCATTTTATACTTTTATTCATATAGAATTATAAAAATCGTATAATTCATTACAGAATAAAATTCTTACTTTTCTGAGATAAACTTTAATAAACAGAAAAAGAAATGAATAGAGTCATTAAGAAGTCCTTCATACGCTTATTGTAGAGGCATTAACAAGGCGGAAACTTACGGCGTTTTTATGAATTGTGTGTGCTACCACTAAAAAACTTTTTAACTTTTTTACATTTGTTGGTGGAGAGTAGCCTGAAATAAAAGGACGGTTCCGCCGTAGACTTGTTAATGCCTCTACAATAAGCGTGTGAAGGTACAGAAATTATGGACTCATGTACTGTATATATATATTCTAATAAGAAATATATTTTTTCTTCTAAATATGAATTCGTCCCGGCAATTTTCAATGTAAAGAGGTTCAAACGGTTTAACGTTAAAAATTCAAATTCTGTTTCAGATAAAGATATGCTCTGCAAATTCTTTTGTAAGTAAACGGGTCATCATAACTACTATCTGCATTTCTATTTCGAATTAAGTCAGCCGACGACAATTGTGTAAAAATCGGCTATCTTTGCATTCACACCAGCAATAGTGCAGACATTAGAATGTCCTGTATAAAAGGGAAGTTGTCCGAAGGGTTAAGTGTGCAATTAGGCCAGTCACTGTTGCACACATACCAGACAATATTCTAGTCAATTACCAAGCAAATTGCTAGCCCTGTAAATAGTATTTAAATGTACCTATTCGTAGGTATTTTTATTTTTTTGTTTTTTATGATGTTAGACATATATTCAAGCATTAGTTTTATTTTAATATCATGTATAAACCAAGAATAGAGCTTAATCAAATATTATGCGAGTGTTTGCTTCAAAACATAATAAAAATCTAGGCAACATTTAGAACTGCCATCTGTTATGATATTTTAGTTTTAAAAAAACGTTTCATATCATTAATTAGTATAAAATAGTAAAAAGTTTAATTTTGAGGGTAGAGACGAATCTTATAAAAAATTGCGAATGGTAATGAATCAGTAAAATCTTCATTAAGTCTAATCCCACTTAAGATATAGCATACGACCCACTGTAGCCCGATCATTTACGACCTACTTTTTTGTATAAGTTTATCTGTGTAAATAGACATAAACATATAAAAACAGTTTTTGTAATTTTATGAAAATGATGAATTGCCAGTTCTGAAATATTCTGATTATATTGTTTTAGGAAGTTTTGTGAGTTTTAGTATCATGATAATAAATAAAATAAAATAAAAAGAAATAAGAGAACACAAGAAATAAATAAATAAAATGCATTGTATGACACAATTAATGAGGAAAGTAATAAAAATATTTCATATTTAGAGAGACAATGCTTGGTTTTATTAAAGATAATTCGATAGAAAAGACTTCAAAAAGTAACTTTTTGTAGCTCGTTTCAGTGGAGCACCTTCCAAAGAAATAACAGACACTAGAAAGTGTTCAAATAATGTTTTCCTAGATAAAATTCATTTATTATTTATATTTATTGTGTCGTGTCTTCTATTTCTATAGGCCTGCTATAGGCCTGAATTACCGGTCACGTAAGATGGAAATTTTATTGAATTCTCATTAACAATTTTCCTATTTGTTCAACTCGGCTCTCCCAAGAGTAAATCCCGAGTTCGCCACTGGCTCCTTGTGTGCTGGACCCTGTCTCTTACCACCCGGCAGCTCCATTACGAGCTTGGCTGAATCCATAATAGGCTTGCTAAAAAACTTTCTTAGTGCTCACAGGGCGGTAAAAGATTTAAAAAAAATAATAAAATAAATCGAACACTTGAATTTTCCCAATCTCAATCGCCCGAATGAGTCAAATGAATACGCTGTTTCTAACTTTCTATAAAGTTTGGCTTTAACCAGCTGCCCAAATTAAACAAAATTTTCATCAGATACCCTTATTTTGTTAATAGGAATTATTCTGTATTCACTATTCATTTAATAAAGCACATTGTTTTGTAGGCCATTAAATAAATTATAAGGACACTATTTATGAAATTAGACTGTTAAGAAAATTGAGGAGGGGCGCAACAATTTTTTCTGAAAAAGAGGGGGCAGAAGTACAGGAAGTTTGGAAACCACTGATTTAATTGATTTCATGTATGCAGAGCAAATCACATTTCATATCCGGTTCTACTTTATTTTTTAATTACTACTCTCAGAAAGCACGAAAGAGCAAGTGTGAGACGATAATCAACCATTTTTATTGCACTTCGTCGAGTTTTTTAAAAATTAATTTAAGAGCGATACAAAGCAACACAGACAGCACGTCAGAGGAGTGGTGTGGGCGGTGTCCCTCGGCCAGGAGCCGAATTAAGAAGGACGTTAATAGATCAAAATCTTTTATTATTTTATAAAAATAAAAAGTAAAACTAAATATTTTTAATTACTTATAGTATCGGATCTGTATATCAGGGTTTAATAAAAGAACGTTGATTAAAAGCCAAAAAATTTTTATAGTCTCAGGTCTGAAATCAGTTGCTGTGAGTAGTTATGAAGAGAGACACAGCAAATGACACCCCTCGTTATGTACGGAGTAAAGTTTGTTGAACATGTTTCGTTTCTTAAAACAAAACAAAAAACAAAACAAATCTGTATTAAAATAATTTCACAAATCGTTACTAGATGGCGCGGTAATGTGGATTGATCTAATAAAATTTTAGGAGTAAATTTGAAACGATTTTTCAAAGAAACGATATATTTTTAAGTAATTTATACGAAAAGTATGTTTCGGACAGAATTTTGCAGAAAGATTTGAAATTTATTAAGCGCTTTTATAAATAAATGGCTTTCCGTAGTAAAACACCAGCGATTAAGCCGTAGCGTTGAGCAATAAAAGGAGAAGATCAATACTCGATATATACTTACCTGACGTTGAGGCTAACCGTGGTCAATGGGGCGGTGCCTCCAGGGTGAGGTTCGATCATTGCACTACGATCGAGTTGACCCCTGCCACTACCCCAAACTGGGGTAGATGGAGCGTGCAATTTTTGGTAGCTGGGGACTGCGTTCGCGCTCTCCCCTTCCTTAACAATTTAAAATTAGAACGTAGTTGGATGAGCTTCTATACCCCATCTCTCAGTAGTTGAGTGCAGGAAACGCTAGTACTCTGATCAACCCGAGTAGGCACATCAAATTAATCGTTAGTCTAATCATTCATCAGCTAGCATACCTTAATAGATTCTTTTAAACAGGTGATAAAACTACCATCGTCTTTTATGACTTTATGGCTTGTTATTCAGCATGGTTTTATTATGGCTTTCACAGTTGAAGCACATTGGCTTTTTGTGTCTCCTGTTACAGTCACTGTATCTATGTGCTCCTGCACAGTGGCTACACCTCAAAGAGCATGAACAGTCGCGGGCTAGATGATTGTGCCCGCAACACCTATAACACCTCGTGAGGGGCACGAAATCATCGACACGGATCCTGGCCCAATTAGAGAAAGGTGCCTCCTAGCCGGATTAGAGAAAGGTGCCTCCTAGAGATAGCTATGTTCCAGACCTGAGGTGAAACTTTCATGATAACATGGCAGAAGTTCTCCTTCACTTTGCCTTGTCTGAGCACAGACAACACCTCATAGGACTGCAGAAAATCATCCTTCCCTATGTTACCCCAAATGTTATTCTGCTCAAAAACTGCTTCAGGAATGTCTTCCTGATCTATATCATCAGGAACATTCAGTAATATAAGCCATGACTTCCGACTCCCTGCCACCCTGCATTGCACCCTATCTGTCACCTCAGGCAGTGGCGTAGCGTGAGTGTCAGCAGCCAGGGGCGGAGAGGAAAATTTCGCCGCCCCCTTATTTAGGTATCTCAATTTAAAAGACTAAAATTCAATTTCGTCACAGAATAAGTAATGAAAAATTCCGTGCTAATGTTGCCACCTTTTTAAAATCGCCGATCCTGACGACAGGTGAGGTTTGTTCGAACAGAAGTTCCTGACACATGCCTATATCATTTTGCAATGAAGAATAATTTGCAGTGCATGCTGGTTCTAAATCAGTTACAGTTAGCAAGTAGGGAGACTTGGGTAGGAGTAACGTAAGTGCTCTAGATGACTTAGCCCTATTGGAGATTGGAGGTGTATATGAGTACAAATGAATCGTACAAGCGAAAAAAAAAACAGGTCGACAGGCTGCGCACGATATCCCCGGACGGCGAGTCGGATGGTAACACTATTCCCACTATTTCGTGCTCATTTCAATCGGTCCGAATCGTAGGTGGACGAAAATCTAAATATATAAAATTGCTTGTCCTGACTGACTCACTCACTCATTCACTCTCTGATTCATCATCGCCCAGAGCAAACCGCTTAACCTAAAGAGGTGAAATTTGGTAGACAGTTAGGGTACGTCATGGAAACGCACACTAAGAAGGGATTTTTCGAAATTCCCCCGCGGGGGGAGAGGGAGAGGATTAAGGCTTAACCGGAAGAATGGCTTCTACTGTACTATTTTAGATGCGAGTTTTTGTTTTTAAATACGTTTTAGTAGGGTATGCTATGGCAATGCACACTAAGAAGGGATTTTTCTAATTCCCCCGCGGGGGGGAGAGAAAGAGTATTAAGGCTTAACCGGAAGAATGGCTTCTACTGTACTATTTTACATGCGATTTTTTGTTACGTTTGGTCTTCATTAAGTACTTAAGTGTATTAAATTAATAACATTTAAGACATTGTTATAAAAATTTATATATATTTCGATTTTTCATCCAAATGTTCGAACCTTTATAAATTCAAATTTGTTATTGGATATTGGTTCGATTATAGAACAATTGTAAACGTTCCAGAAAATTGATCAAATTGAAAATAGTTTGTTTGATTCCCAGCAATTCTCATCATTCTCGGCGGTAGGTGTTATATAACAATTACTATGGTTGTTGAAATACTGAATATAAATGGGGTTTGCTTGCAAAACCTCCGCGGGTGAAGTCGCGGGTAACAGCTAGTGTTATATACAGTATAACAACCAGGATAGTAAAAATGATGTTGTTTAATTTTATATGAAAAAAATTATTTCGTTTTATAAATGAATTTTTAATATTTTATATGGAGATACTTTAAATTTACATTTAGAATGATTGATTCGAAAAATGTCGATACGTGTCTAAGACATCTGTGAGAAATTTGTGAACAGTCAGAACATAGTATTCGTGACAGGGATATATGTGGATTCTCGCTGCAATTGAAGGAAAACCAGCATTTTCACATTATTTTCCCCAATGCGATTGTTTCCATTTCTGCGAATTACGTGTCACAAATACCAATGCCGCTTCTGCACAACTTTTTTATTATTTTACTGCGTGCCCTGTATCAATCAACATCATGAATTTGATCGGAGAATATCGATAAACTATATCTACACTTTTAACTGATTTATCATCATCAATTCTCCAGTTTTTGCTATTTTAATGGCGGTTGTGATTTCTTTATTTCAAATCTTTAATATTTTCTGCGCTTTATCATACCGTTTTATGTTTGTTTTAGTAACTTTTTAGCATATAACTTAGAATAATTTTAGGTAAAATGAACAAAACTATGTTAATGGTTGCATCACGTTTATTTACCTTCTCCCCATCAACAAATTTTTACTATCCCGGCTGTTATATATAAAAGAGAAAGTATGGAAATCAGTCAAAATTGACCCCCTCTAAAGATTTATACATTTTTGGAATCGGAGATCTTGAAACGTCAAGAAATGCCTACAAAATTTGAAAATTTTTTGTATTATGGATGTTGTGTGTGGAAAAGTGCATGAGTGGCCCGATTTTGATCACCTATTTTCAAGCTTAATAACTTCTCTGGCGTTTTATGCAAATTTATGAAATTTTACAAGGCGATTTGTGTATTAGGGAAAGTGAGGTTACTAAATTTTGGTAGTTAAAGGTCAAACAGTTGAGAAGATAGAGGTGGGGGTCACTTTTTATATCTCGAACGTTGCCGGATTTAATGAGATTTTTACTCGTTATTAGCATTTACATTTTTTTATAAATTACCAACTCTACTCCAAAATTAACCTTATTGCCATTTTATAATAATTAATATTATAAAAAGTTTATAATAAAATATTATAACAGATAGTGTCACCGAAATTTTTAATTCTTTGTCGTAAAAGTTACTTAACTCGTTGCTGGACATTTTCTTTTTTGATATGGATATACATTTACTCCACTTTTTCTGAATAATTTTATATTATTCTCAACTCGTATAAAATAATTTTTGATACGAGTTGTGAATATTGTACTATATTTATATTTTTCTCAGAATTTTTAAATATGGACAGAGCATTGCACGGTCTTTGGGAAAACACTTATATAATAAAATGTAGATTCAGAATGCTGTGAAAAGATCGCTTTGCCTACCAATGACATGGTCACTCACCCTGCATCAACTGGGTTTGTCTTCTCATTCAATCGATACTAAAACAGCTTGTCACAACATTAACTTAATGATGCTGTTACTTGGAAATTCTCTACAATATCATTACTTTTCCAACAATATTCTTGTTTACAACTAATATAAAAATTTAAATAAAAAAAACTTACATTTTTGCATTAACAAATGTTTATATCAACAAAATACTATTCAAACAGAAAATTTTCTTTTAAGAACAATGTTCTTATCTTTACTCTTTATGGCTTAACCATTATTGGCTGATCAAGTAATTACAAGACATTCAAGAATCTAATTGCAGACAGTCCAATTTTGGAAAGTTTATAGTTATCACGTAATTACAAAATTGTTTTCCTTATAGATGAATTTTCTCAGTATTTTTGTTTCAATTTCCGTGCTAATAGTTTTAAAAACTTTAGAAAAATTTCATCTTATAAAACCACTCGCTTCCTTTAAACTTGTATCTTATACAAGTTAAAAGGAAATTCAGAGAATATGACATTCTTTGATTCACTAACACAAAGTGTGTTTCTATTTCAACACTTGGGGATATTCCATCTTCATTCAGTTGAATAAAGATACTGAATAAAGATGGAATATCACCAAGTGTTGAAGTAGAAACACACTTTGTGTTAGTGAATCAAAGAAATAAGACAACACGGTTTCAGAAGATTTAAAAATATGATATTCTTTCATTTTATAATTTTATAAAATTATTAAAAGTCATTTTATAATACACATCACTGAAGTTACAATGTCAAGTACAATATACAGTGGTGCCTCGTATAACGTACTTAATCCGTTCCAGGTGCACGTCCGTTAAGGGAAAAGTCCGTTATACGAAACGCATTTTCTCATATAACAATTACTATGGTTGTTGAAATACTGAATGTAAATAGGGTTTGCTTGCAAAATCCGCGTGAGGGAAGCCGCGGGTAACAGCTAAAACAATAATTAGTGATGATGGAGGAAGCACAATAAGCAATTACTTTCACGGCCATTTCCAAATTGAGCCAGTGCCCACGCTCCACTAAAAGGTCGTCAAACGCCGAGCTAACGCGCGTTTAACGCAACGCAAAACGCCTAATGTGTACACAGCCTAACTTTGTTACTCAACACTTCCATTATTAACACTTTTGAAATGTCTGAACAGAATCATAAGCACCGTTCTTCTGACATTTCGGCCTCCGAACCACAGCAAGAAAAGCATCTTAACAGACAAGAAAAAGTCAACTTCGCAATCTTCTGAACCATTATGCCAATGTCCTCGATGTCGCATCACTACAAACTCTAAGGAAGATTGGTTCCTACATAAACAGACACATGTTAATGACGTCCCTTCCACATCAATGGTATTCGATAATAAANCATGATTTGCACAACACTTGAATAAATGTAAATACCCTGCACTGAGGTGATGTACGTAATAAACAAGGAAACAAGCCGAATCCCAATGGGCGCTCTGTACTTCAGATATACTAATAATATATTCTAATAACACTAATATATTATAAAAATAGCAGATTGTCATTGGCAACGGCAAAAGAGTGAAAATATCATTCGCACTTGTTCGCAGAAAGTTTGTTGGTCTCACAACAAAAAAATTGTAAACCTATAAATTCCCTTTGC